TATCTCTTTCTTTTTGACAATTCAAGACAAGGTACATTTGTGATCCATCTGATGAGAATATTTCTATTCCCTTGAAAATATAGTCAAGATGTTATTTTTTTTAAATATAATACTAGGCCATTTGGAAATTATCATGTTAAGTTGCTCAAGTCTTGTGTCAATCCATCACCAAGCAACTTATCTATTAACTGTTAACTAATCATTAAATCAACATATCAATCAATCAACCAACTAGCCTGCCAATCAGTCAAACACTAAATCATAAATCAATCAAACAATCAATCAACAATCAATCAATCCATCAACCATCCAATCAATCAATCAATCAATCAATCAATTAATCAACAATCAATCAATCCATCAACCCTCCAATCAATCAATCAATCAATCAATCAATCAATCAATCAATCCATCAACCATCGAATCAATCAATCAATTAATCAATCAATCAGTAAATCAATTCATCAATCATTCCATCAACCATCCAATCAATCAATCAATCACTCAATCAATTAATTTATCAATCAACCATTCAATGAAACAATCAATCAATCAGTCAATCAACCAATCAATCAGTCAATCAATCAGTCAATTCACCAATCAATCCTGTAGAGATTACTCACCACATGACGAAGAAGATACCTTCTTTTTACCACTCGACTTATTTGCGATAATTTACACTTGACTACAGGACACTAAAACACAGAAAAACAAACCATAAGCTAATGAACAGTTTATATTACTTGATTATTGATTAATAATGAAAAAGAAAGAATAATAAATAATTATTATTAGTTTATAAATAWAGAGGAATACTTCACGTACAGGATCTGCATTGTTGAATGGTTGGAAATAAAGTCGAGATGACGTCAACATGACGCGTCCTGGATTACAKACTAGTGGTGTTATTCTTTTAGCTGTAAAATTTAATGAAAAGAAATATCTAAGAGTTTATTTTGAACATCATATTTATTGTTTTAAATATGGTTTACAGGACTGTATTCCTTCTGAAAATGTGTCTCAGGTATTGACCAGACCTAAACTGACTCAAAGAAAACAAACTTCCCTCTTAGAAAAAATTAATGAAACAATAAATTAAAGTTATCCCAGGAAATCAGAACAATAATTTTTCAAAAATGTTTCCATACTAAAATGTGTGTCTGAGTATCATGATCATGTGTCTGAGTATCATGATCATTATTTCTAAAAATATTTTTTAATCAATTTTTTTCACTTTTACTGACCTGATGTTTCCACAACTATCTTTTCATATAAATCTTCAAGCCTGTAGTGAATAAATTAAGTAACATAAATCAACTCGCATTATCATAAATTACCATCAAATTAAGGATCCCAGACAGAATTGCATGTGGAAAGTTTTAGGGATTGAAAAAAACAAAAGACTATTAAGGCCAATAGACGACACAACTTTTCCCTACAACTATGGCATGCGACCTGCGTAAGTCATCCTTACAACATGGCTACAACTGTCGTGAGACTATTAAGCAATTGTTTAAAATCCCTATGACAGTTGTAGCCATGTTGTAAGGATGACTTGCGCAGGTTGCATGCGATGGTTGTAGGCAAAAGTTGTACTGTCTAAATCGGCCTTTAGGAGCAAGTGATTGGATAAATTTTAGGAATAGGGGAATATCCTGTGCTTAGGGCTAACATTGATAAGAGTTGCATGACTGTGCAACTCAAGGGACCACCCTGAGCCTAATATTAATAAATAATTAAAGCTTTTTCCATTGTTCATTTATTCCTTAAACTTCCATGCAGACCCTACCAATCTTTCAAGAATTAGATATACACATAGAACAGGAATGAGAATAGGAATAAGAATGGAAAATGAGAATAGAAATAAGAGTATTAAATGTAAGCATACCAACTGGTGTTGAAGGTAACCCTAGCCTGTCTTGACTGAACAATAGTATTTATCTGGGAGAAGATGAAATAATAGCAGTAATTAGCAYTATTTGTTTCATAGATTAAGGGTGTTCACTCTGTCGGTCAGTTTGTATACCATTGCTGTTTGATCAGCTCTAGACAGTGTTGATGCTCTATAAAGCTGCAAAACAGAAAAATACAAACAAAATCTATTAATAATGATTAATAATGAATAATAAATATTAATTCATTAAAATACAGCACGTTACCTGCTCAAGTTGAGGAAGAACAAAACTTAATGCTATAAAATTGAATGAAAATAAATACTTCTTCTGTTCCTGAAGAGAAAAATKTAAAATTTCATTCAGTTAATTGGGGTCCTCTTACTAGTCCTGCTTGGGCTTCCTTTGTAATATATTAAAATGACAGAGAGGGGACTAAGATTGAGAAACATGGAGAGAGAAAGATGGGTTGCTAGGCTTAACTTCTGAAGCTTTTACATTTATCTACATTTTATTTGCAATGCATTGTGATCAGTTTCTGGAGAAAACAAGTTTTTTCCCAAACATTGTGTCATATGGTATATGACGTAAAAGGTTTCTAGGCTAATATTTATGGTCTGGTCAGCAACCTACCCTTATAAATTGATATGGAGCTACAATATTGCCTTCCTTCATTTGAATGACTTGTTTTGACTCAATAACCAGAACATCTCCCTTGGTATCTATTCTGATTTGTGGATTAACAATAAAACAATC